AATATGAGCAGAGCCACCAAAATGATGGTGGGACTGGAACAACTCCTACATGAGGAAAGGGTGCAATATTTAGTTTATTTTTAAAAATGACTATATGGTGACATGATAGAGATATGATAAAGATATGCATGATTTGGAGAAACTGGTTGTTAGCCTGCCACAGTGGGGCTCCTCCATTCTTATACACCATTTCATGGTGGGGGATGCAGACACATTGTGACTAGGCTGGTGTAGCAATCTCTTTATCCTATGCCTGCTCAGCCCAGCAGAGGGGATAACACACTATTATATACAGTGGTTCCTCGGGTTACATATGCTTCAGGTTACATACGCTTCAGGTTACAGATTCTGCTAACCCAGAAATAGTGCTTCAGGTTAAGAACTTTGCTTCAGGATAAGAACAGAAATCGGGAGCCGGCGGCACGGCAGCAGCAGGAAGCCCCATTAGCTAAAGTGGTGCTTCAGGTTAAGAACAGTTTCAGGTTAAGAGCAGACCTCCGGAACGAATTAAGTACTTAACCTGAGGTACCTATGTATATGCATATTGTATATGTGTAAAGGTAAAGGTAAAGGGACCCCTGACCATTAGGTCCAGTCGTCGCCGACTCTGGGGTTGCAGCACACATCTCGCTTTATTGGCCGAGGGAGCCAGTGTACAGCTTCTGGGTCATGTGGCCAGCATGACTAAGCCGCTTCTGGCGAACCAGAGCAGCGCACGGAAACACCGTTTACCTTCCCGCCGGAGCAGTGCCTATTTATCTACTTGCACTTTGACGTGCTTTCGAACTGCGAGGTTGGCAGGAGCAGGGACTTAGCGACGGGAGCTCACCCCGTCGCAGGGATTCAAACCGCCGACCTTCTGATCGGCAAGTCCTAGGCTCTGTGGTTTAACCCACAGCGCCACCTGCGTCCCTATGTATATGTGTGTGTGTGTGTGTGTGTGTGTGTGTAGTGCAAAAACAGCAACCACTGACCACCAGCTGTGGTCCAGACAGCCATCCACAGAGAAAGGCAGCAGATTGAGGTTGGTAGGAAGCTCCCTGCACCATGGCACAAACAATGACCCTACAATGCCCATACTCCATGGACTGGTGAGAGAAGCAGTGACTGTGCTGCTGCACCTTGTCCCCACAGGCGTGGGTTTGAATTTCCTTATGCCACACATTTCTCCCAAAGAAAGGTACCCCTACCTTGGGGTATACTTCATTTTTAGCATTTCAAGTCAGCCTAGGTGTTCTGACCGACTTTCAGCAATATCAACATTGCGGCTGATGTTTTCCAAGAGTTCAGTCAGACAGCCTTCATCAGTTGCCTCTGCCTGTGTTCAGATGCCTAGAGAGAAAGTTGTACGTCATGTTTTGATGAGATGAGATTTAGGACAACTGCAGCGAAGATCAGCTGGAAAAGTCTATATAAATATATCATAAATCCTTGATCTGCTTATAAAAAGAGGCAAATGCAACAGTTAGTCATTATAAATAGTGAAACATTTTTTTTAAAAAAAATGTGGATGTGTTTGTTGCTCTGGGTGTGGGTGGGATACAAATTCAATACATACATAAAACTACAATGGTAAATTACTAGTGATTTATCAGTGAATTGGGTTTTGTTATTTGATTCCAGCATTTTCAGCAAAACTGTATGTGTTTACATACCTCGCATGGTGGCATGGGTCATCTGGGGGTAAGTTTAGTAGAGTTGCTCAAAACTGTAACATTAGAAAATAGCCAGATGTAGGAACTTAGCAAAGAAGCTTACCTGTGTCTACTCAGAAGTAAGTCCTCCTAAATTCAATGAGGCTTACTTCCAGGTAAGTGGGGTTAGGATTGCACCCTTAGAGTTCAATATTTGCTGCTCCTTCAAAAAGGAAAATGCACAGTATTTTATTTATATTGTCATTTCCTCTTTCAGCTCAGATTTCCATATAATCACACAGCTACCCTTGCTGCGACTGTTAGCATTTTTGTTTATCACCAACCCACACATACAATGCAGTTATGTGTTATACACTCTCCCCACATCTTTCATGAAAACTTTCTCCCTTATCTTGTTCCTCAGGAAGGAAGAAAACCTCAAAGTAAAGGAACTAATTTGTTTTTAATCCATCTGTGCTGCCCTCTGCTTTCTCATCTGTACTTTTTAAAATACACAGTACAAAGTATAGAACCATGAAATAATTTGAGAAATAATTTGTGCAGTATATATGGTAGCTTATTTTCACGGGGGTGGGGGGTGGGATACAAATAAACCTATGTGCATAAGTTGACGATACGTAAATATGTGTTGCAATTTTCAGACCTGGGATAATCCTTTTTTAAAAGCAATGTCTATTCTGACTGCTAAATATTACAACTAAATTTGTTATAGATTCAAGAATGCAATCCTATAAAATAGCCTACTTAGCTGTAAGTGCAGCTGAACTCAATGGGAATTATGTCAGAGTAGATATACTCTGTAGGATTGTGCTGTAAATGATGTGGGCATTTCTTTAAAGTCTATCATCGGCCCTCTGTCCCGTTAGAATCTCTATGGCCTCCAGTGGTTTATATGTATCAGCTGAATTCTAAAACTAGTGAATGGCCGCCAAGAATGGAATGCTCTTTGAGCCCCCTCCGGTTGTGATTTGTGCAATTCCCAAGACTACCAGCCCTCAGATTTCAGCCATAGGGAGGACTAAAATCTATATGAACAAATGACTATTTCTTATTAGTTTCCATAAGGCGCTCATATTCCAAACTACGGTAATACAGTTGTCATATCTTGGCAGTTGAACAGAATCCGTTCCGGAAGTTCGTTTGACTTCCAAAATGTTTGGAAACCAAATCTCAGCTTCTGATTGGCTGCAGTAAGCTCTTGCAGCCAATTGGAAGCCACGCCGGACGTTCAGCTCCCAAAAATCGTTCGAAAGCCGGAACACTCACTTCTGGGTTTCAGTCATTCAGAATCCAATTTATTCGTGAGCCAAAGCATTTGAGATCCAAGGTACGACTGTGTGAGTATTGTTATAAGATTGGGAGTTCGAACAGGAGAGGGTTAACTGAGCCAGGAGTACTGTTGCCGGTTCCCCTAATAGTTTGTGGTAAGGCACCTAGGCACATCTTTTGAAATTATGGACGGGGACGGGACCTAGGAGATGGTAAGAGAATACGAGGCACCATTGCATCTCCACATCCAGCCAGAACGAGAGGCAAAGCTGCGTGTCGTAAACAATTGCATAACTGTCACTTTAAGTGGGACATCTCAGAGTTGCAGAAGCCACTGTGGCTTCTGATTGGATCTTGGGTTGTCTTGTTTCAGCTCCTGAGAGTGTGTGCTCCCAAAAGACACCCATTTCGGAGGGCCATGCTCTCATGCAAGTCACCTCCAGGGCTTTTTTTCCAGTCAGAACTCAGATCTGGCATCTCTCAGGTGGGCACCATTGCCATTAGAAGAGAACAAGAGAAGCGCTCACGGTGAGTTCTGGCACCTCTTTTTCTAGAAAAATAGCACTGGTCACCTGCCTCTCATGAGGATACAGCCCTCAAAGATGCCCATCCCTATTTTCCTCTGCAAGGTGTTGGACCTGTAGTTTCAGTCAGGTCTAGTCAAATGTGGGTTGTTTTTTTTAACACACATGGGTTCACTGAGGATGGGGCAGGGGCTTGCAGTCAACCCCCCTCCCCATTTTACATACAGACACCATGTTCCCAATTCTGATCACCCCACTATAGTTGCTAGATGCAAAAGTTTGAGAACAGAAATGTATCGTCACATCTAGTTTGGACCTAAGTCAAGCAAATTAGTAACCTGGCATTAAGGGTGACCGAAAGGTTTAGCAAGTACAGGTCTGACACTTTGGATATTTAATTTTTTTTGTGGGTGGGTAAGGGATTCAATTTATTTTCCCTGAGTGTTACAGTAAAAATAAATAAATCCTGAATTGTGAATGTTCTAAAATAGCAAATTGAAATTAGCTATGTAAAGCAGGCAGGGTAAAATAATGCTGCTACTCACATAACTCTGGTGGATAAATAATAATGCAATAATGTCCAGTCTCAATATATTCAGCATGTGTAAACATTTCAGTGAACAACGTGATCCAGTAAGATAAATAAAAGTGGAAATAATTTTTATCAATAAAGTGTGTTTAAAAGAGATCTTTGTGGAATGCTAAAATAAATGATCTGGTATGATCAAGTGAACTCAGTAATCAAATAATGTTAAGGGGGAAAACACCCTCATTTTCCTTTGAGATACTTTTGCATATTGTTTAGAAGAAGAATTGGTAACCAACTGAAGCATAATATTCATCTGATATATTTATAGTGTCTGTGTACAATTATAAAAAGGGTGTCTGACCGGTTTTGTACAATACTAGTATCCTACAGCTACTGTTTATAGATAAGTGCTTTAGTAAAACAGGATAATATAAACAAATGATGGCAGTGGTTAGAAGGCTTTGAATTTATGTGCAATGGTGGCAAGTAATGCAGGAACTTCGCTTCACGCATTGGCGAATTGGCAGAATTAAATGGAAGATGCACTCCCCATACGTATGGTATAAAGCGGAGTGTCTCAGCCCATAACTATTCACGTAGTTAGACTTATAGATGTACTTGAGGACCTTGCTGAATCAGGTCCTCAGTAATACAGGCTTGAGCAATGAATAATTGAAATAGTGATGCTCAGGAGTCCTAATGATCTATGTAGCAACACAGCCTAGCCAGAAAATGCCCTTTCAGCAGAATCCCACCAGTAATCCATCAACAGCAAGCAAAGGCGTTCTTCACTTTTCAGGAAATGAATGGGAAGCCAGAGTCGAGGCCTATGGGAAATAACGATAGGTTTTCTCCCCCATTCCACCCCCATTCCCGCCTTACCAACCTTTATTGGTAAGTGAAATGGTCAAAGGAATGTAATCAAATGAGCAAGCAGCAAATAGCCAAGGAGTGAATAGATTGGTTGCAGATGTGTGAAATTACTATAAGGCCTTACCAGGAATGCTTTTTTTTTCTTTCCAGAATCACAGACTGGTGGAGGGACCTTATTGACCCATTGGCCAATTTAGGGTAAAGCAGAGTCTATTTTTTACTATGACTCCCGTCATCTCCAACATGTAAATAGTCCTTAACATTTGGAGGGTACCAGGCTGGCAAAAGCTGCTACTGCCAGGCTGCGTGTAGCTAGATGATACCGATTTGTCTATACATTTCTCCTTCCACTTGCAGGATAGCTGAATCTCAGTTTCGCTGCCACAAGTGCTTTCACAGGTGAATTATGGGACAAATTTGACTACCAGCTTTCCAGTTTGTCTAACCCTGTGGGTTAAACCACAGAGCCTAGGACTTGCCGATCAGAAGGTCGGTGGTTCGAATCCCCATGACGGGGTGAGCTCCCGTTGCTCGGTCCCAGCTCCTGCCCACCTAGCAGTTCGAAAGCACGTCAAAGTGCAAGTAGATTAATAGGTACCGCTCTGGTGGGAAGGTAAATGGCATTTCTGTGTGCTGTTCTGGTTCGCCAGAAGCAGCTTAGTCCTGCTGGCCACATGACCCGGAAGCTGTACGCTGGCTCCCTCGGCCAATAAAGCAAAATGAGTGCCGCAACCCCAGAGTCGGTCACGACTGGACCTAATGGTCAGGGGTCCCTTTACTTTTACCTTTAACAATGAGACATTCAATTTGCGAAAACCTTTATTATGTTTTTTCCCCTCAAGGTTTTTCTGAGCATGGGAAGGAGGAAGATTAAAAAAACACCACTACCCATCCTTTTTGCGAAGCAAGCCTTGACCCACCTAAACATGCAGTTTGGGATAGAACGGTTCTAGTATAAAACAAGTGTTTGTGTCCCACATCTTTCTTCAAAATATCAATTGAAGAGAACAAGCATCTGAAGTTCTGGTAAGCCTGTTCAACCATAAATCCCAACACTAATCCGAGTCATAAACCTAAATATAAAATATGATGAACGTGTGTGCTTTTGGTCTATATACATGTCAAATTCATTTGAGAAATCTGAGAGGAGATGAACAAGAAAATAGCCCTAAAGTGGTGCCTAATAATAATAATGAAAAATGTATTTTTGTTTAATCCTTTATTCCCCCCCCCTTTGTTTGATCCTCTTTAAAGATTAATTTTAAGCCTGCCAGGATACTTGTTTCCTATATATAGTAGTACAGAAAGAGAAGAGATAGAAACGATAGTTTTTAAAAAGTACTCACGAGTTATATAATGTATTTGTCAAGAAGGAATGACAAATGTATCTAAAATTAGCAATGTATAGGATCTGAATAGCAGTTTTGTGGGATAACAGGACTTATTTCAGGGCAATAAGCCAAAATAGAATCAGCCTAGAAGACAGATGAGTACAAAAGGAAGCGCTTCTTCATGCAACACATAGTTAAACATAGTTAAACTTTGATGGCCACCAACCTGGATGACTTTAAAGGAGGATTAGACAAGTTCATGGAGAAGAGATTTGTCAATGACTGCTAGCCAAGATAGCTGTGCTTTAGGTAGAGGGCAGAGGTAGAGGGAACCTTGATCCACATGTGGTGACCATGTAAATATGCTAGAGAATACCAGGAGATGATTCAAACAGAATTAAAAAAGATCCTCAAGATCACATTTCCCAAAAGATTTGAGGCATTTCTGTTAGGGATAACAAGTGATGATGTCCCGAAAAAGTCACTCAAATCTCTTTTTATATGCGACACCCACAGCTAGAGTGGTATATGCAGAGAGGAGGACATGGAAAGAAAAAGAGATACTCTTGAAGGAAATATGGCAGAATAAATTGATATAATACGCAGAATTAGTAACTATGACTGCAAAACTAAGAAATAAAGATGAGTCATGGGTAGAGATGAGTGGATGTGTTTTTAAGAGTATCTCAGAAGGTGTAATAGTTTAACCTACAAGTAGGAATGAACATATGAGCAGCAGATAACATTAAATAAAGGAAGATTTGAGACGAAAATGGGTGGAATAGTAGATTATGCAGCTGACAAAAGACTACAGTGGTACCTCGGGTTACATACGCTTCAGGTTACAGATGATTCAGGTTACAGATTCTGCTAACCCAGAAATAGTGCTTCAGGTTAAGAACTTTGCTTCAGGATAAGAACAGAAATCGGGCTCCGGCGGCGCGGCAGCAGCAGGAAGCCCCATTAGCTAAAGTGGTGCTTCAGGTTAAGAACAGTTTCAGGTTAAGAGCAGACCTCCGGAACGAATTAAGTACTTAACCTGAGGTACCTATGTATATGCATATGCCCTGTGGAACGCCCTCCCATCAGATGTCAAAGCGATAAATAACTACCTGACATTCAGAAGACATCTTAAGGCAGCCCTGTTCAGGGAAGTTTTTAATCTGGGATATTTTACTGTATCTTTGGTTTCTATGGAAGCCGCCCAGAGTGGCTGGGGAAACCCAGCCAGATGGGCGGGGTACAAATAATAAATTATTATTATTAGTAGTAGTAGTATATGTATAAAGGTAAAGGTAAAGGGTTAGTTAAGTACTTAACCTGAGGTACCACTGTACCTAGAATGCTATGGAGAGATGGACTGGGAAGTCCGAGGTTAAGAGATAATTATGAACAAACAAACAAACAAACAAGCAAACAAAGATAGCTGTGCTCTGCCTTCTGTAGTTGGAGACAGCAATGCCTCTGAATGCCAGTTGTCACAGGACAGAAGAGTTCTCTTGTGATTGAATCCCAGAGGCATTTGGAGAACTGGTTTGCAAGACTAGATGGAGAACTGGGGTGGCCCAGCCTGCTCTTACATTTTTATTGATAATGGACATCATACGATGCAGTTGTAAAGCTTTATGTGTGCTCATGTAGCACTTCCACATTTATTTTGGCGAAAGGAAAAGCTCTCTGGATCCATCACAAAATTGTCCACACCACTGAACTTAATGGGGGAACTCTTGCAGACAGGGAACTTTCATGTGTGTAACAGATTCTGTGCAAAGAATTTGCCAGGCTGACAAGTGACTTTTTGGGTGTGCTGCCTTTCCTCCATTTATCTGCCCATACAAAAAGTGCAGTTAATGGAAATCTACTGTGCCACAAGCTGACACCTCTGGCCCTGTTACTCAAGAAAAAATTCACTGCACTCCACTGACTGCAAAACAGTGTATACCTTGCAGTGTATACCTTGTAAAGCAGAAACGGGATCTTAAGGCAGGAACCCATATTTAGACTGTTTATTTCCTGGTGCAGACGGCAAGAGCACATTGTACCAATGCACACACATGTGTTAGTTTAGATCCCCTCCTGCTGCTTCAAGCAAAGACAGTGGGTGAGGATCCCCTGACATTTCAAATTGGCCTAAAGCCAATGTATGGGTGCTTCAGAACAAAGCACCTGTACAGAAATCTGTTAAATATAAGAGGGTTGCTGCTGCAGCTAAATAATAATAATAATAATAATAATAATAATAATAATAATAATAAAATTTAATAATAATAATAAAATTTAATAATAATAATAATAATAATAATAATAATAATAATAATAATAAAAAAAATTAATAATAATAATAAATAATAATAATAATGTTTATACCCCACCCATCTGGCTGAGTTTCCCCAGCCACTCTGGGCTTGCTCCCAATCGAGTGTTAAAAACAATACAGCATTAAATATTAAAAACTTCCCTAAACAGGACTGCCTTCAAATGTCTTTTAAAAATAGGATAGCTGCTTATTTCCTTGACATCTGATGGGAGGGCGTTCCACAGGACAGGTGCCACTACCGAGAAGGCCCTCTGTCTGGTTCCCTGTAACTTTGCTTCTCGCAGTGAGGAAACCGCTAGAAGGCCCTCAGTGCTGGACCTCAGTGTCCGGGCTGAACGATGGGGGTGGAGACGCTCCTTCAGGTATACAGGACCGAGGCCGTTTAGGGCTTTAAAGATCAGCACCAACACTTTGAATTGTGCTCGGAAATGTACTGGGAGCCAATGCATATCTCCCAGGACCAGTGTTATATGGTCCCGGCAGCCACTCCCAGTCACCAGTCTAGCTGCCGCATTCTGGATTAATTGCAGTTTTCAGGTCACCTTCAAAGGTAGCCCAATGTAGAGCACATTTCAGTAGTCCAAGCAGGAGATAACTAGAGCATGCACCACTCTGGCGAGACAGTCCGCGGGCAGGAAGGGTCTCAGCCTGTGTACCAGATGGAGCTGGTAGACAGCAGCCCTGGACACAGAATTAATCTGTGCATCCATGGACAGCTGTGAGTCCAAAATGATTCCCCAGCTGTTCACCTGGTCCTTCAGGGGCACAGTTACCCCATTCAGGACCAGGGAGTCCCCCACACCCGCCCGCCCCCTGTCCCCCAGAAACATTACTTCTGTTTTGTCAGGATTCAACCTCAATCTGTTAAAGTTCACAAGTAAATGGTTAAAATTGTTAGCAATGGTTGTCCTTTTATTTGTTTATTTTTCTCTCTGCGGAAAGATCTGATGTAATGTCTGGTAGCATTTATAACAGTAATTGAATGAAAAAAAGGCAGTTTGGCCAAAAATGGTAGGTTGCACAAGTTTCATTGCAGCAACTGAGCAAGTTTTTTCCATGCAGTATCTTTCTGATGCAATGGGCTTTCCCTATGTAAGCTAGGCATCCTGCAGCCACTTTGAAGCAGAGATGTCATAAAACACACACTTGATTTTCTTGCCCTGAAATATCTTTGGATATCTTTTTCTTTTCTTTTTTTAAAGATACCCCTTCAAGCTTGTAATGTGGGAATCAGGAGTCCACAGGAAAAACTATGGTTAGTGTTACCTTTTCTACTGCGGACAGAGTAACATTGACTCCCCCAGACCCCGGATGAATTAAGATACTGGTTAAATACATCTTGAAAATGGATGCATAGTAAAGTTATTAGATGTTTGTTGAACACCAGCAGCACATAAAATCTAGACTTATGTGTATGATTACGTTAAGGTAAAGGTAAAGGGACCCCTGACCATTAGGTCCAGTTGCGGACGACTCTGGGGGTTGCGGCGCTCATCTCGCTTTACTGGCCGAGGGAGCCGGCATTTGTCTGCAGACAGCTTCCGGGTCATGTGGCCAGCATGACAAAACTGCTTCTGGCTTCTGGCAGTGTACGGAAACGCCAACCCACTGGAGTGGTACATATTTATCTACTTGCACTTTGACATGCTTTCAAACTGCTAGGTTGGCAGGAGCTGGGACCGAGCAATGGGAGCTCACCCCATTGCGGGGATTTGAACCGCCAACCTTCTGATCGGCAAGCCCTAGGCTCTTTTGTGTATGATTAACTGCACATAAAACAATGGTGAATGTTTAAGTTGTTGTTTAGTCGTTTAGTCGTGTCTGACTCTTCATGACACCATGGACCAGAGCACGCCAGGCACTTCTGTCTTCCACTGCCTCCCGCAGTTTGGTCAAACTCATGCTGGTAGCTTCGAGAACACTGTCCAACCATCTCGTCCTCTGTCGTCCCCTTCTCCTTGTGCCTTCCATCTTTCCCAACATCAGGGTCTTTCCCAGGGAGTCTTCTCTTCTCATGAGGTGGCCAAAGTATTGGAGCCTCAGCTTCACAATCTGTCCTTCCAGTGAGCACTCAGGGCTGATTTCCTTAAGAATGGATAGGTTTAATCTTCTTGCAGTCCATGGGACTCTCAAGAGTCTCCTCCAGCACCATAATTCAAAAGCATCAATTCTTCGGCGATCAGCCTTCTTTATGGTCCAGCTCTCACTTCCATACATCACTACAGGGAAAACCATGGCTTTAACTATACAGACCTTTAAGTTTAATGTTTAAGTATGATTCCACAAAAGCTCAGTCTTAAACCTGCACTCCACAGCCAATAGCACCGTACAGATTCTTGAAATTAAGGGTCAAAATATTAGTTACATAAAAGATCCATGATCAGTTCGTCTGCTGCTGCTTCACAACAATTTTAAAGATACTGTGGAGACTGGTTTGGATGCCTCACCCTTCCCCATGTCATTTCCCAATCTAAATCCCCCTGAAAGCTCAAAAATCAGAGCGTCCTCCCATGCCTTAATAATAATGAACACATGTTGGGAACTCTGATCTCATATCTCCTGCAAGACATTGGTTTTGGCCCCTCGGGGCTTGAGAATCATCAGTGAATTTTTTTTAAAAGTACAGCTATGGAAATGAGCTGCTAGGAGTAACTTGACTTATGTTTCTGGATTTCTGCTTTCACACCTGTCAGCTGAGTAACCTGGCAAGTCATTTCCCCATCTAAATAAACATAACCTTGCTTACGAAGGCTGTGTGTAATTAAACCGAGTCCATACCTATTAAACACTGAGTCACACTGTTCTTAGATGGTGTATTTTCATCTCTGAGCTCATCTGTACATGGCTGAGTTGCTCGGCCTTATAAAGACTGTGAAAATTGCAATAAAACAAGAGGAATTGGCAGTTATGCAGTTTGCATGTGTGCTGAACTTTAGTTTTTTTTAAGGGTTTGTTGCTGTGCTGAACACCCAAGAGGTGTGGAGATAATGAGTTATCCACTCTTGGAAGGCTTTCTAGGATGTATTGCAGAGCTATCCATACTCTTAAGTAGAAGTGAGGCTGCTGCCTAAGGCAGCTGATTTGGGGGTTTAATGAAATGCAGCACAGACTAATCCATTGGAGTGAATGGGGTATGAATAGGGTGAATATCTTCAGGAACGCCTCTTCTGCTATAGACTTGCCTGGACCCTTAGATTATCAACTGAGGCCTTCTCCAGATTCCTCCTCTGATGGAGGCTTGGAGGAGATGAGCTTTTCAGTTGTGGCTCCCAGGGAGATCTGTTTCACACCTTCAGTGACATCTTTTTGGCACCAGGTGAAAACTCAGCTCCTGATGTGTTGATTTGCAACCTGGATATGTGTCATAGGAACCAGAGAACCAGTCTGCTCTACCAAAATCCACCCCACCCCTGCAAAGTCAACTCACAAAAATAAATAAATGGTGCAACATATTTCTAATTCAGCATTTTTGGCCATTCTGGCAAACACAGTTTAGGAGCATGACAACCCTTTGGTTGATTTATAATGCACGGATTCTGGTTTCCCAGGATACCTGAATATCATACAACTGGGTAAAGGAATATTCACCATCTTCCCAATCAGCCTGCACAGAACTCACTGGCCATTGCTCTGTAAGGTACACAATTTGTTTCTAAGATTTATTGTAAAACTGACAGCTTAATATAATTAGATGAGAGTAACTCTTCAGAAGCCAGAACACTTAATGATCTACACAAAATAATAGCCTGAGCCTCTTGATTTGTCCATGTATGTTTGATGTTGTAATCCTTCCAGACCAGGACATGATGACTCACTTAACTCTGCTGTGCATCTGCTGGACATATAAAATATTACATTTTCCTGTTTCCTTTTTTTTTAAATAACATTTGGGCTGTTGATGTGATTTAGGTATGCATTTAGTATATGTACCAAGCATGAATTACAAAATGCCATTGCAATATAAATTTATAGACATGAATAACTCTTAAGTGGGTAAAAATAAAACCCCACCAAGATATCTTGGACATGATCTGATTAAAAGTACATGCATTCCTGTAGTGTGTGTGTGTGTGTGTGTGTGTTGCATGATTACTGCAAACTTGGTCTTACTGGAACAGTCAACTCCTTAAAAACAAAAACTCAAAACAACTCTCTTAAGCTGAGCTGAACTTTGAAGTCTAAAGAGTGCTTCTGACTTTCCTCAGAAACTGAGATAATGTGACCTTATTTGGAACAAATCCACAGCTCACACATAAACTATTGAACCCACGATACTAGTCCAGAGAGAAAAATGATTAATTTATCTGGACATGCTACCTCAAAACCTATTCTAAAATTGACGTAAGGAATATTAACTGCTTCACATTATTAAAGAACACTAAATGCTTCCAAATACTGTATGAAAATGATGATGATAATATTGTATGAAAATGTGAAATATAATGGACCATTACCTATCCAACTTTTCTGGCCTGCTACAGACTGAAGGAGGTTGAGTGTGTTGTCCTTTTCTGAAGAAAAGCTGGTTTCTACTGAACAGTGACTCAGGAAGGTCACAGGTTGAGAAATACTTGCAATTGAATGCTTTGTGAAGTGCAGCCATGATTCCCCCCAGAATGTATGGAATTCCTGTCTTTGATCCTCCAATAGAAGGAAGGCTTTTGTATGGTGTGTCAAGACACAGACCTGCTGTCGGGCTATGTTGGATTATATGACCAATCCCCAGTTAATTAAACCAATTCACTAATACCAGTAGATCTGTCTACTCCATGCACTTATGTACAAATCAGCATGGAAAAGTTGGGAGCCTCCTGACATAAATGTGAGCTGAGTTGATGAGGGACATGCGACACAAAGGTCTTTCTGCCCTATCATGTTGGTGGCCTTGTTCCAATTCCGAGAAGCATCCAAAACGCCAAACCCTGCATCACTATGTGGTGTCAAAAGTGATTTGATTGACAAAGTCCAGAAACCGGAAGTTATAAAGCAGGGGTGGCTAACTTGTGACTATCCATCTGCTGTTGGGAGTGCAGGCCCCATCAGCACCAGCCAACATGATCAATGGTCAGGGATGATGGCCAATGTTGTCCAGCAACATTTGTGCTTTCTACATGAAACTGTCAACATAATGACATTAAAAGGTTCTACAGAATACGTAATCTTCCATACTATAGCTTGGATCCAAAGGTTTCCTTCCTCCAATTGTTTTGTAAGCTGCCATGGGCGGGCTCTGCCCTGAAGAGTCGCATTTCCTTAACGCACAAATCCAAGCCTATAGTATTTTTTCCCCCATTAAAGAAAGGAGGTACTAACAAGAGGATAACAAGAAGCAATATGATGCAACATGTCATTCATTCATGACTATGGATACAATGTGCTGTTATTAAGTAGTTCAATAAACCCATCACTGGGGAGAAATGCTTCAGACTTTCAGGAAACAATCAAGGGGGTAGTATTAAGGTGGATAAAGAAATCAGTTTGGTAGTTTTAACACATTCTAGGTGGCCCTAGTGGGTTAAACCAGAGCCTAAGACTTGCTGATCAGATGATTGGCAGTTTGAATCCCCGCAACGGGGTGAGCTCCCATTCCTCGGTCCCTGCTCCTGCCAACCTAGCAGTTCAGAAGCACATCAAAGTGCAAGTATATAAATAGGTACCGCTCCGGCGGGAAGGTAAACGGTGTTTCCGTGCGCTGCTCTGGTTCGCCAGAAGCGGCTTAGTCATGCTGGCCACATGACCCGGAAGCTGTCTGCAGGCAAATGCCAGCTCCCTCAGCCTATAGAGCAAGATGAGCGCCCCAACCCCAGAGTTGGTAATGACTGGACCTAATGGTCATGGGTCCCTTTACCTTTACCTTTAAGAGATTCATGTTTATCAAGGGGATGGTTGAAAGAATCAGTGTTTGCAGCCCAAACAAAGGACAGAATTTCTTTTTGGAAGATATCCCACAATTCTTGGGAACCTCTAGAGAGGGAAAACTGAGTGCTGTCTGTGCAATCTCACGAAAGTAGATTGTTTGCATGGAGCTGTCCTTTGGGACAAGTTGGAAGTCTGATGGGAGCAAATTGTCATGGGCACATTGCCTCTAGTATCTATACCTGGTATTTAAGAGTCCTTTTGGCACTGTATAGCTATATTATCTATACTTGAAAAATAAGTTCACACTTGCACAATTTAAGATTATATCTTTATTTTAGTTTAGTTAAAACATACAATGTTTCATTGAAACTGTGTAGCACTCTTTTTCAACAATTGTCCCTTAATTGTTGATCTAACATTACAGTGTGTATCTCTCTCTATATATACATATACAATATATACAAATATTATCATACCTGTACATGAAGGCTTGATATATTGATTTTAAAACTAGTTAATGAAAAACCATCTATGGCAAACTGTATTCTGAAAGCCTGCACTCTGTGGATCCAAGAGATTCTGATGTTTAATGCAGTGTACACAGTTGTAACGAATAAGGGGCCCAGTCAATAACTTCATGCACACAGGGGCTTCACATTTCCCTCTTACAAAGGGGCAGCGAACTGCCTTCACACTGCAAAGCCCTTGCATGAATCTAGACTTCTTTTTCTGAAAGAACCATCACACCTTCCATCCCACAAAGCAAACTGCTTTTGAAAGCAAGGGAACTTTCAGATCAGTGTGCAATGTTGTGTGTGGTTCAAAGGGAGGGGAACCCCTCATTGGACTATCACGTCCTTGGAAACACTTTTAGATACCAGCCCTGGTCTTTAAATGTTATTGTGTCCTTAGACAATTTGAGGGCACACGATTTTCATTTGGGAAGCCAAAATTATTTCTCTGGAGACTTCCATCTGATAGCACTTTCAACTGAATGCATAACAGGAATGAGTCACGGACATAATGCATTAGCCATGAATCGTAACGAAAGCTTATATACATAAACACAAACTCCCAAACCTACATTATATACAATAGTACTTACAATATATACACACACAGTTTATATACAAAGGCTACCCATAAATACTGAAAAATAGGTTTTAACTTCAACAGGTTATTGTTCTATAAATAACATGTTACATTTTATGAATGAAATAACATGGAAGACAGTAATTTAAAAATTAGGTGACAAACAGTGGTTTAATTTAATACTGAAACTGTGACCTGCGATGAAAGCTCTAAAGAGACAGGTTTACAACAGACACTAGAAATCATTATAGCCTAGTGGTACACAGCAAGGTCAGGCAGAAGACCTCTTTAGTTACTGAATGACACTAAACTGCATGATTCACAGTGTACTGTCGAGGTATCTCTGATCCAGCAATGACTCCTTTGAAATGCAACAGTTAGTACAGTCATGTAATTTCTGTTACTTTTGTCACTCTTCCAGCTGTTGAGATGAACCAATGAACTTAGCTTCTTGGTTCCAAACGCTCTTCAGTGTGTTCAGAAAAAATGGTCATTTGTTCCCTGTACCATTCTGATATATTGACGGTACTTGGGAATCCTAGTATTTTTTACAAGAACCACATGGATGGTTAAATTGGAAGAGCTGCCATTTTAACATGAGAGGCTCATCTTAGCAGCTTTCAGAAGTATGCAAAATATGAAAGCCAAGTACCACTAGACTAGTCTAATTTGCAGGGAAAGAGAGATGTCATTTTCATTACACCATGCACAGATGTATAATGGATTACACCGAAGCCAGTGGTGGTTCTGAGATATAAACCAAGCCATTGCTTTGAAAATGATTGATTTTTGAAAACTCAAAAGTTTCACATATGGGTGTGGCTGTTGGTTACCTGGTTTCTCTGAGAACAAAAGAGATTATCGGGACTGTTATTCAAGTACAGTTCGTATCGCCCTGCCCAGGACAATGGCTTGAGTTCAAAATGTCAAGCCATTCGTAACTTGTAAAGGAAAGAAAAGTAGACACTTTTCAGTAAGGCAGGTTTCTCTTGATACTGACCTCCATGGAATCAAGATTGCAGCCTTAGGGGATGGCAGTTGCCATGCAGAAATACAAAACAAAAAGGTTTGCATTGCCAGATTGTAAAAACCTGGGACAGAGTGGCAGTAATCTGCCAACTATTTAAAAATGGACCTAAACTTTTTTTCAAAAAGAAAAGAAAAAGCCAGTGTTCTTTAGCTAATTCCATGCCACGATTTGATTCTTATAACTCAACTACTGCTTGAAATCAGCTAAATTAGATTTCTAAACTATTATGCCAAATGAACATAGCGGAAAGCCATCTAATGAGGACTTCGCTGTTAAAACTCTGCCTGTCTTTATTCTTTCAGACTGTCCTTTCCAGCAGCATCTGTGTCTGTTAAGTGGTGCTGAATGTGCTCTTATGAAAGTACAACATCTCTTCAGCCGGGGATGGAAATAATGCATAGTAACTAAACAGTGTATGATCCTTACCTATGCAGGTGTAGTACCAACACACAGATTTATCACCATGGAGTGTTAATAAGAGCACAGCTATTCTCCCCACTCAGCAAAAGTGCTGCCCAGCAATATACTTGCAGGGAAAGATGGGGAACGGAAAGTCTGTACAGATGTGAATTTAGGGGGGCACGACTGGTTTGGTTGCAGTGCGTACCATGTTTAGAGGGGCTGGACGGGATATGGTAAGTAAATGGAAGAATTTCCAATTCCTGTAATATCCCCAGTATGCCAAATGCACACAGAGGAAGGGCTCTTTAATGCTCTATGGTGATCTCTTTGCAAACAGGGAAGGATCAAACACTCAGTGACCACGGAATTACCACCTCCTTTTCAAAGCAAACTACTTAAGGCTCAAACAGCACATGCCTATATCAGAAAAATATGAGATGACAGTGTAGTCCCATCAAGGTCTTAATAATAATAATAGTAATCTTAAAAGACTGCTGTACAAAATCCGTTGCATTAGGAATCCCAGTTGCCTTATGAAGAGAGCTTTTGCCTTATACACCAAATCCTGGCGTACTATATGCATATAGGAATATCACATTGTCAGAGAGGAACAAAAACATAAAATAATTTAAAATCCAACAATGGATGAAAACTGGTTATTGAAAAACATTGTACAGTGTGTGAATACTGTTATACTGCTAGTAAACGATAGTAGGACCTCATCTTTACTTGTTTCAAAAAACAAAACAAAAACAAAAGCTAAAATGTGTAAAATTGTCGCTGGATCATGTGAACTCCACATTAATGGCAAATGACCCAACATGATTTGGTTGGTACCTGCAACTGAATAATAATAATAATAGCCCATTTGTTTAATATAATTGCACTATTGAGTACCTCAAGAAGAAAAATGCTTAGGATTGTACTTTCAGTAATTTGCCAAATACTGCTCCTATGCATCCCTCATTAATTTCAAGGGTTTTGTTTGGTTGTAGCACTAATTGGATTGGTTGCTACGTTTGCTACATATAAATTGTTTTAATACATCATCCATTCTAATGGTATGAAATCTTTTTAAAACATGACAATTTGAGTAAATAGCTACTTGAAAGAGTGTGGTGGTTTATGTTGGTTGGATTAGAAATATTGCCATGGGGTTGTCTTAACATATTTGTTTGGTTTTAGGTTAGAATAACTAAGTTATGTGTAGAAATCATTAAACAGTTTTGAGTCTTTCAAATTAATCAAGCTTTCACGTAATAGGTTTCAAAAATAATTTCATATGGCCAAAAATATACTTTTAAGGATATGCCTCTATAGGCAGGCAAAACATGTTGAATTTAGAACTCTGCTTAAACAGTTTTACGGATTTTCTTTTTACCCTTATTTGGATCATCAACTTACAAAACATTTTCTTAAAGTCAAAATAGTGCTTTTGAGGTCCATAAAATTTTTGGTACAAAAATAATAGTGTTTTTCTCATTCATTTTCAATGGTTAGCTTACCCTCCTGATGTAAACTAACTTATTTCTCACATCAATTTTTTCCATTAGGCACATTCAAGTAAAACAATAAAATATCCAAGTAACAATGACAAAAGCCAAACATGGCTTGATAAAATTTTACAGAGAGAGCTGTCCATTCTCTGGAATGGAATAAATAGTCACTTCCCTCAGCCAAAGATTCAGGTGGTTTGATGTTAGTATCGATTCCCATAGTGCAGAATAGTATCTTTTTTTAAAAAAAGTTCACCTATTCTCCATTCAGAAGAACCAGCATCAAAGAATCTGCATTTCGAAAGGAAGCAGAATTGCAAACGTGGGTAAGAAGTTCTGTTTTTCCCCAGTAGATGGTTTTGTAAGCACTGGAGTCCAAAGCAGATAGCTAATGGCCATTAGAAGCAGCATTGCTGGTCCAATCCAGAATGATCAAGGTCATACTTCCAGTCATCACAAATATGCCACTGATCAGGAAAAGAAGAGCCTACAAAGACATTATATAAAAAATATTGAAGGATTTTGATAGAAACAAATAGAACTTGATAAAGAAAATGGCCAATTATGCACACATAAGGGAACTTGTATACACAGCGGGGCTCACGTTCTTCTCTCCAGTGCTGCATTTCCCAAAACCAAGACGACAAAACTTTAAACACATCTTGCCTTCTCTGCTGTGGGAGATGTAGCTGTGAAAACTTATCAAGGAACTCGGGCTTATTGTACAGTTCCTTTACACACTGATGGTTATTCCCTTTGAATCCTATTTAAAATGTCTGCTGCTAGTTAAGAACTCAAGAACTCCCTTAGTCGTCTTATATTAGCTGTACATTTCCAGCAACCTAATTCTCCACAAATAAATAAGTGTTTCAATGTTGTTCTTTCATGACTAGCATGCTTGATAGTCACTCTGCTCATGCAGCCAAATAGCTCTTGGCGTTTTTCGATTCTACTGATCGAGCTGGACAAGCATGATAATAATGGGCACTTCTCTTTACTCACCCCAATCTTCTGAACAGATTTCATTGGTTCTTTCTTCACTAGCTTAATGTAGAAAGCAGATGGTAGTATAAAGATCAGCATGGCAGCAGCGGAGGCACCTGTGTTAATAAAAACGGTCAACATTTCTATTACAGTATTCTGATTATTATTATTTTTATTTTTTTAAAAAGCTTTAGAAAATGACAGCAAGAAGAACAGAGAACAACAGAACCCTTACCAATGAATCCAAATATATCTCGAATTGTGGGAACAAAGATCACGAGAATGTTGGTGAATACCAAAAGAGCCATTGTAATTGCAGTATGGCGCCACCAACTAAATTCTTTCCCTGAACACAACAACTGTGTGATGGAGCTGCGGATCTGTAAAATAAATGAAAGTTTATTAAAATCATTTTTTTAAAAAAACAAAACCTTAAAGGCACATTCCAAGTTCATTTTTCAAACTTTTGGAAATGTTTATAACATTGTAACAATGAGTGAGAGGGATAGCCTGTGGGAAAAATCCATTTTGAATTTTTGCTAGCCCTTATAGATAGCCAACAGGACGCGGGTGGTGCCGTGGGTTAAACCACAGAGCCTGGGACTTGCCGATCAGAAGGTCGGCCGTTTGAATCCCTGCGACAGGGTGAGCTCCCGTTGCTCAGTCCCTGCTCCTGCCAACCTAGCAGTTCTCCAGAAGCGGCTTAGTCATGCTGGCCACATGACCCGGAAGCTGTATGCCGGCTCCCTCGGCCAATAAAGCGAGATGAACGCCGCAACCCCAGAGTCGGTCATGACTGGACCTAATGGTCAGGGGTCCCTTTACCTTTACCTATAGATAGCCAAAGGTTTCAGGTTGGATCCTAAGGTAAGTTTAAATTAAGAAAATTTGCAGAAGGAAAGTTCACAATTCCCTCCTCCTCTTTCCATCTCAACTTGTTCAAGAGGGCCTTCCAATTTTTCGGAGAGGATTTGGCAGAAGGTGGGTTGGGGGGATGGGGGGGTCACACAGATGGTTGCATAGGGAAAGATCGAGCAGGAAGCTTTCCTTCTGTGAACTTCCCAATGTTAACTTTCCTTGTGATTTAAGCCTTTACTTTTAGGCTGCTTCTCTTTCAAAGTCTAAAATGCTTCAATTTAACAGCCGTGGGAACAGATCTCTTTGCCTTTCACACTCAGCAAAAACTGATGCAGAAGGGTGAAATAGCAGAAGATGATGATTTATTTATTTATTACTTTTTAAAAATCACAACTGGAAATTAGCAGACAAGTTCTAAATCAGCTTGATTTCTAAATTACTGTTGAAGCTGGGGGGGGGGGACTTAAGTCACTTACTGGGAAAATCACAACTGGCACAGTAAGTGTCACTGCCATCAGGACTGCCAGACGAACAATAAGGAGAAGAACATCAGCTCCCAGGACTTCAGCATAAGTATGAAGCAACTCTGGCTCAACATTTCCTGCAAAGAATAGAATGTTGATTTAATAGAATGTTGATTACTGTAGATGTCAAAAATATATATATAACAGGAAAAACCCTGTGTTCTGTTTAAATACATATCAAACTGATTCTCAAATGGAGTTTTCGAATTATGCTTCTAAACCCTACTTGTTCTACTGATTTACATGTATTGGTTCTCATATAAAACCAGAGAGCTATGTTTTGCCATCACTCACATTTCTAAGACCATTCACTCCCCTTGCAACATGATCCTAAGCATCTCTACTTAGAAGCAAGCCCTCCTGAACCTAATGAGACTTGCTTCTTATTAGCAGTGCATTTCAAACTGCTAGTCTGCACTCCTTTGAATAAATTACTCAGAAATGATATTCAAATAAGTTAACTGGACTTTAGAGAACAAGTTCCTCATGGCTCTCATCTGAGATTACATTCATAGCCGTAAGATGCAAAGAGCACGCATGCACTTACAACGCTTTTAAAGTCCCACTGGTTTCAGTCAGAAAACTAGCACATTCCTAGACCTCTCCCACCAAAATTAACATTAAGGGTGGTTTATTTTGGTTGGTTTGTGTCTGGCCAAAACGTGCGCAGAAAGTTTAGGTACAAAAAAAGGAAACAGAAACGGAAGAGAAGTTGCTCACCATAAAATGTCAGATAACCGAAGACAGCAGCCAGAAGATACATGAGGAACATGGCAAAAAATGAAACATTGGAGACTTTCATCATTCTTCTGCGGCTTCGCCTGTTTCAAAGGAACAAAATGTATTATCGATTCTGAAATTATGTGCTTCCATTCCTGTTTCTATAAAATATCTGACGTGTAACATGCACAAGTCTTACTTACCCTTTCAGTTCTTCATAAATAGGAAGAACAGCCGGATGGCAGACGAAGGAAAATGTTAAGATTGGTACAGCGTAGACAGTCTGAAAAGCACAAAAATAAAAATGCACTTATGAATATTTCTGTAATATTAACTTGTAGGTATATTTCTTCATTAGCTAAGGCTGCAGTGCTAGTAAGCACACTCCAGGTATTTTGGGTTAAAATTCCTACCCCTGACAGTTGTCTATACCAGCTAGATCTTATGGAAGTTATAGTCCACAGTAGATTTACACCTAAATCAACATGCGCAAGTTTGCACAGAAAGGCTGTAATCCTAACCTCCAGTCCAGACAGCTAAAGGGCGATACGATTGGGTGGGCATCCCTACCAGTTGGCCTCTGCCTGCATTCCCAATAGCCGGGGTAAAGCCCCAAACAAATTGTTCTTGGATTGGAGCAGGACCAGTCATGCATCTTACAAGACTATGCACACTTTCCTGGAGGTAAGCTCCATTGAGTGTGGTGGGGGCCTTTCAACAGCTTCAGAACCCACAATGCATCTATATAGGCAATAGGCCAGACAGCCGTTTTGCACGACAAAAATTCAAAACACAGGCATTTGCTAAATAGGGATTGGATTGTTCAGATTGTTAAAAGCCAGCAGTGTACTTAAGTTATTGGCAGCCTTGTGCCCAAGACAAAAATGTTCTCCAGCTTACAGTCATATCCTGTTTAACATAAGGACATTTAAAGAAGCACTGAACCTTACTCCAAGTACGCAGTGCTCTTGTAAGAGAAAAAGGATTTTTCACCAGTCAATGAGGCTTTAAAATAGTCACAATTAAATTTCTAATTAGTGTAGCCGATTATTTTCTCCCACCCCCTCTTTTATTAATATTTACCTGTGAATTGAAGATGAAATATTTTGGTGTGCATTGGTCATCACTGGTTATATTAACTTCTGATACATGAAAAGGTGCAGTGGTTGACAGATGTTCTAGGGTGGTATTCAGAGTTGCATTAATCAAGTCACTTTCCAGTCCACATGGAATTTGAAATTTCTTGCAAATGACCTAACGGAGAATGACAAAGAATACTGCCTGTTACTTTCACGGGATACATTTGTTCTAGAAAACAATGACTGGACATAATTAGAAGTCACTAGCAATCTCACTTGAATTAAATATCCTAAACACTTAAATGTATGCATAGAAAATGTTGCACTTACGACAATAAGGAAGAAGACCATGCACAACAAGGAAAATCCACTGGTGTAACCCAGATAACCTGTAACACAAAAATGCTTTAAGTTAGTCCTTGTAACACATTTGGGAGATGGCACATTCAGTAGCATGGTCTGCACAACTCAAAAGTGAGTTTCCAAGACAATAGATTTACAGGAATTGATATTGTTAATATATTGATTCAATATCACTGAACAACTAGAAAGCACACACCTTTGTTTTAGCCATTATCTGGGATTTCCTATCCATTCTATTATCCCAAATCAACACATCCAATAAGAACACTATTAGATTTAATGTGGTGGTGTCATCCTGCTCTTTCATACTTTCTTAGCTCCCCCCCCCAACTTTAATAAAACTTACAACCAGGCAAATGGGTATAAAATTGATGCTCAAGTATATTGGCTTCATATTGGCATATATCTGTATTTCATCAACTAGGAGGGCTTAGGAAACTGCTGTGACAACTTAGGTCTCCATGCATAGTAAAACCGAGCAGAATGTAGAAGTGGCTTCCATATTACAGGTACCATGTTAATCACAAAGAGGATTGCCATTATTTCCCAATTTGTTCACCTTAGTTTCATCTATATCTCTTGTGCCTACTTACCTAAATTTTTCAACAGTGACAAAGGAAGAATGAGCCACAAGGATACCAATATAACCAAATAATCACCGTTGAGGTACCATTCTCTGTAAGAAAAGAAATACATCTTTGTTGAAAAACTGCGTGGTCATCACATCTATAATTTAAAAATATTATATTGTTATCACAGTGCAATAGAGAAACACAGGACAACAATACTGGTTCAGAGTACCTAATGCAAGTGAGTTCCCATTAATGGCTACGTTTCTGTCTTTTGGGAGTACTTTTCTACAGCTGTCAATAGGAAAGACCCTCTCGTGCACAAGTGATTGTGCTATGCTGGGTCACAGCAACTACATTGGATTAAGTACCACAGATATCAATGAGACTGAGCTCCAGTGAACACCTTCAGAAGGCCTGGCAGCCTAAACCAAAATATGCTTACTCAGAAGCAAGTCTGAGTCCAATGGGAGTTTACTTCCTAAGTGGTATGGCACAGGACTCGGGGGGGGGGGATATAGGAGGCCTTACACACACTTTAATGGGATGAAGTTGTACTTGCATGCACATGGGTATTCAAAACATGCCAAGGAAGAGCACTGCTATGCCCAGCGGAAAGCCCTCTTTATGTGGGCAGAGAAACCACATGGGAAAGGGTTATTTCCAAATAAATTAATAATTATGATCTTTATAGCTATTCAAAAATACAATGAGCATAGTTCAGAGAAAGCTACATGAATCTAAGCACCATTGAGTTGGATGTGGCTTAGCAGTCTGATTGCAGTCTAAGGAATACAATGAGGTTTAGGTATTGCAAACTTTCAATGGGTCGCAAGCATTGTCTCCACTAAAATATGGGGGAATCTCATACTCTAATCATGGTATTAGAATTCCTGTAGAAACACAACTCATGCCCCTGAATGCTTGAGCCCAAATATTTACTTCTGATTCAAGAGTAACATCACTGCAGTGATTAAGATGGGATGATACAATATTTTGTATGAAGGCAGTGTTAAAAAACTGCCATACACATGCTGGCTTCTAAGAACATGTTGGAATTACAGCTTGATTACATTTTCAGAACAAAGATGTAATTGGACTGGCCATTCAGTGAACACTGATCCTGTTTACATGTCCTGCTATTTTGTCAAACAACAAGGCTTTTTTCTAACCCCTTTCCTATAGGCCGTATCATATGTCAAACAGACCACTCAATAAGTAGGCCAGTATAACTGGAGCTCAACCATGATCTCTTCTTACACGTTTCAACGGAAGACATCAGATAAAATTTCTACAATGCCTATTTCTGTTCCTGCTAACAGTTTCTCTGCTGAGCAGTTTGAAGACTTACCCTGTGCTCTCTTTGACGTTCAAAAATGCCTTGATGACGATTGGTAACTCATATTTCACAATGTAGAGGTAGCTGGACATAGCTGCAGGTGAATGATATTGTACATCAATGCATATAGAGAGCATGGCACATAAGAGCCACAGAAACATGTTTCTTGGTGTCGCTTTTAGGTTGCTAATGGAAACATGTTGTGTGACAAGCCCATCGCATCAGAACAAAGAAGAAAACTGTTATAAAGTGTAAAAAGGGACATTTATCTGAAAAACCTCACCTCCAATGTTCTGCATTGTAATAGATCCAGATGCTGCCAGTTTCCCAGCCATGCCAAAGGCCTTCATTCCCAGTTGTTCATATAGCAGAGACCCTACACAGCAACAAGAAACAGAGCAGTTGCTAGAGTGTCATTTACAGTTACATGTTTTTAATGTATAAAGTGTAGGGAGGTGAATTTCCTAGTCACAAGTAGATGGTAACATACCTCCTTCATTGGCAGTCTTCAAGAGGAGATGAACGGAGTATAAAGAAAATATTGACACGAAGAACAGAAGAATTCTTTAAAAAAACACACACATAAACAAACAACTTTTACTTTGGCTGAAATAAGCATCTAAATTGCAACAAGAAAAGGTAACAAAATCAGGCTCAGTTCTGCCAAAGTGATGCACTTCCCCAGTGATTTCAGTCGGGAAATCACTTGACTTTTTAATTGAGACCAGTTTCATTTACAAGTGATAAAATGATAACTGGTTTTAAAGGTGGTCATATAATTCCTGAAGAAAATATTGAAATAATTCTAAAAATGAATGTAATAAGAACAGTGGTGCTTTTTATTGTGGAGGTTATAAGAAACCACCACAACAAGGATTACATATGATCCTGCTGACATGCCTCTAAAGGTAGACTACCTGCCTCTAAGCTAGTCCAGACTCACGCTGGGTTAACCAAAAGCCCTTTCTATGCAAACATTTCTCCACATCTGAGATATTGAAAGGGGAAGCAAAATGTTACTTCCCTTTCTTTTCTGTTCATTTTAGTACTTACAAAAATAAATGGAGATCATGACTCTTAAGTTTAGACAATCAAAAATGGTTATAGTTTTGGGTTTTTTAATCAGAATATTAAACACTGGCATCTCCTGCGGTGGAGCTTTAATGATAAAATGCCAGCATCTCAATCCAATACTCATGTTGATTTACGGGAATGCCCAATCTGATCATAGATACAAGCAATGCACATAGTTCAGTTATTTGAATTGAACTTCCTTTCATAAAATGGATGCAATCCAGCACATGCTTAAATCCCAGTGATCTAAGGAGTAACACTCCGCTGAACTAAATAGACAAACTGATTACAGATTGCCCCCAATTAGACTTGGCTTCATGGCTATGTTAACGTGAATGCCCATTGTTGCAGAGTCATTTACATAAGACAAATAAATTCTACCAATAAGAATCTCATCATTATAATCAACAAAAATGCAGCTATCTAGATAAAAATCAAGGTAAACTACATAGGAGATGTTTGAAAATTCAAGTGGAAGCTAATATGCTTGCTTCTGGGATTGTATACTTGAATACCATAAAACATATACACAAAATCTATTCAAAAATATAGATCTGTTCTTCATCCAACGTGAAATCTACAAAGCAACTGTTCTGTAGCAAAAAGGCATATTAGTGGGAACTTGTTCTTCCTTTTAAGATGCCACTGATAATTAAATTACATGTTCCAAAACAAAACTGAGCTATTTGAGACTTTAAACTAATAGCCCAATCAAAGGCAGATTTACTTAGAAGTTCCCCTGTGTTTAAGTGGAGTTGCTCACATGTAGATGTGCATAAAACTAGCAGCACAAGACTTAACATGCTTATTCGGAAGCAAGTCCATGAAACCTACTCTGCACTTAGGACTCTGCCTTAAAGTACATTTCAGAGAAATTAAGTTTTTCATGAAAAATAAATAAAACTTAAAACTTTGTCTGATAAAACAACACACTGGATTCAGTATGCATACATACCGAAAGGACAACTTTGTGTTGGTTACAATGCCATCAGCATAATGCATGCCAGTGGTACACACTGCAGGGCAAAGTGTAATGCAAAGCCCATTTGAGTTCAATACGGGGAGATAGATAAAATGAATCAACTGCCATAGACCAAAATGTGCTTCCACTAAAGCTTGTTTTGGTGGCAACAGCAACATTACCAGCATACTGCATTTTGGGTCATCTCTAAATGACTGTCAGTGAGTCATTTTGAAGGACCAGAGAAGACAGAAACTTAAGTTGAAAGACGCTGAATATGCTTACAGTTCTGCTTAGAAGTAAATATGTTGAGCCATATAAAAAGGAGTTTAAAGGTAACATTGCATCCACTTATAAAACATACAGCATAAGGCACATTTACTGATTTCACGTTACAAAGTTCCCTGCCACTGGCTTCAACGTAAGTATGCCCTATAGTCCAATCCTATCAAGTCCAATGGGACTTTACACACATATAGGTATGCATAGGAAGGTGGCCTTAAAGTGTTTTTGAACCTCTCTCACTGTTGGGAGTGCCTGTGTGAGACAGAAATGCAACTTTAAATGTACTTGCATAGGATTCTTAAATTAATTTCTAATGATGGATGAATCCATCACAAAAATCGCCAAGATGTTTCACCTAGAAGTATTCTGTCTGAAGTGTATATTTAGCCCTGTATCTATCATTTTTTACACATAGTTGTACACACTGGGACATAACTTTATAAATATTTTAAACCATTCCTCCTGGGATGGAGCAATTTCTTTGGTTCCTATTAAGGCTTCATAGTGTAAAAATCAGAAAATTAGATCTCCATATTTTTGCACCACTAAGACAGGCATAGGCAAACTCTGGCCTTCCAGATGTTTGAGACTACAATTCCCATTATCCCTGACCACTGGTCCTGTTAGCTAGGGATCATGGGAATTGTAGTCCCAAACATCTGGAGGACCGGAGTTTGCCTATGCCTGCTCTAAGAGTTCCACTGTGATAGATGCTACTATGACCATCTCTCACTGGCTTTGCTTTTCCAAGGATACATGTTTTCAATATACACTGCCCTCTACAGGAAACATATACTGTACACAATATGCATGTATTAAATACAGGCAAGCGATCTCCTTGTTTTCCATGGCAGGGAGCACGTAGCTACAAACCTATTTGCCTAGGAATTTATTCTCCAATTTCTTAATCCCCAAGGACTATGAATATATACAATTTTTAACCTGAAAGGTGTATTAGTGTGTATTCCAAGGCTGAGGCAAACAGTAATTTAAAGGGGGGAAATTGACAAAAGAGTGTAGAGATGAAATTGACAAGCTCTTTGTGCTGCCAGGAACAGAAATGTCTTGTGATATTATATATGCAAGTCTAGCTGCAGGACATTATGGGCCAGGAATCAGGATGGGTAAGTGAGGTTTCACATGAGCTGGAGAAGCATGCAGTGACATTTAAACTGGAGAAAGCATGCATTTACGAATGGCAGTAATGGGTATTAACCAAAACTGGAATACTTAAAAGCACTGGAAAACACTTAGTACTTAATACACTGGAAAATGCACATGTAATGTAATTTCTTCCTTAGAATGAATAAAAATATTCCTTTCCCCTTACAACTATTTTTGAAAGATGCTAAGACAGGATAGGACAGGTGAAATCCAGCAAAAAAATAATAAAAAAAATTCTGTTTTGAGTCCATTTATTTTAACAGGAGAGATTTAAACATGTGCTTAACTTTCCGGCTGAAATCATCAACTGAGGCTCTCAAGGATGCTTAATTTTAGCCTGATCTCCAGCATGGTTCACTGAGAAACAAGCTCCACAGAGCTTGTTTCCAAATGGGTAGATGCTTAGGATTCTATCCCTGGTCTCAGTGGGATTAAACTGGTTTATGTTCAGATAGTCTGGGAGTTCTAATGTGTGTTCATTCACTTGGCAACTGCGCCCAAGTTTCCTTTCCACGGTTACATTTTAGGCATGATCACATTTTAAAATGGCAAACGGAAAACATTAGCATGCACAAATACCAACAATATAATGCTGCAATTCTGCTGCATTCAAATACTTACACAAAGAGAGCAATTCCAGTGTTTGCCATGGCATAAGAAAGCCCAAGGATGCCACTGCCCACAATAGCATTGCTCAGATTAAATACTGACATTCCAAAGGAAGTAGTACCTGGACGCTGTGAATAAGAAAAAAGTGGTGGTGGAGGTGGTTAATAATTTGTTCAGAAACAATTATTTGCAAATGGTTTTAATTTGCAGGGGGGGGGGAGGTCTAGTCTTCAATTAGGTACTCAATGCTAAAAAGATAAGTGATGCATGCTTACATATTCAGTTTCATATTTCTTCTTCCCAGGATTGGATTCAAGTAAAAAGTTTTGGTTTTCTGGATCCATGTCTACATAATGGCTGTGAGAAGGGGGGGGGGGGGGAAGAAGGAAAACAAAGCAACTTAAGTATTATCACTTTTTTAAAAAAGCAACATAAAACAACATTGGGGTTGTTGTTTTTTTTATTGTGTAATCCACCGATTTCAAATGGGCTTATTTTAAAATAAGATTTGGTCTGGGAAAGGTTCGGTTTTTGCTGCTGTGCGTACAAACTGAGATACTGGCCATTCTTACGACATTTTTTTTAAAGGTAAATTTGGGGATGAAGGTTGAAATTCACTTCCGACAAAATCAATCAGAGATTTGTCATTGATTTGAAGAGGAACTGGACTGTGTATGACTAATTATTTATTTATTATTATTATTATTATTATTATTATTATTATTATTAGAGCAATGCACAGAAACATCTCTGACCTCTTCATCGCAGCTGGTTTGGTTGGGTAGGGGTAGTTGAAGTCATTGCTGTTGGAACTGTAGCTGCTGCTGTCTTCATCAGGAGTAGTGTTGAGCTTGCCCATTTCAGCTTTGGTCATGATGGGATCCAGGGTGCCTTTTTTGGGGGGGTACCGGATTAAAAGCAGGCAAATTAACTATTTGAGATAGTGGCAGCAAGCCTGGGCTCCTCTTGATCTTTTGTCCTTGGCTGCTGGACTTGCCTTGTCTCTGAAGGTAAGGGGGGGAAAAAAAGGGAAACGTCAATACTGCAGTAGTCCTCCCGAATTGGGTCACGTGAGCAGCCGCTGCCGCCGCTTCTGCTCACCGCGGCTGATTCATAGGCAGCCAGGCGAGTGGAAAAGTACCAGCAGAGATGGGAGGGAGGAGGGAGATGGCAAGGGAAGGAAAAGTACAAGAGTAGAACAAAGATAATCTCCAGCTTCGACACGGCAGCCCCCGCCACTGGGGGAGATCTGCGTGGGAAAGGCAAGGGGGTGCGCAACACAACACAACACAACACAACACAACACAACACAACAACCCATTTTGACCTATACATCACTTGTTCTCCACTCTCCCCCCCCCGCAAGACATTTAAAGCTAGTCATTTTAATTATAAGGGTTGACTTTCTTAAAGGATAGACTAAACCAGGAGAAACCCGGAGTTGCAAAGGCTAGTTTAAGGTTCACGAAAATCGACTTGTGTCCAACCAGAAATGACACACTGACACACACAAACCTCTGTACAGGTTTGGGCAGCCAGCCAACTCCACCCCATCTGTACGGAAAATGATGCAACCCCGTCGGGCGATTGTCACATTCCCTTTCAGACCATTAACCACCCTGCCTTGCACGTTATCCTTTCAATGACCATTCCCTGCTATTTCTTTCTTCCACCCTTCCTCTTAATAACAACAACAATAATAATAATAATAAGGGGTTCCTGCATTTCTAAAATGGAAAAAATGCAAATCAGTCACAAGACTGCACCAGCAGCGCCTGTTTTCTACTGGGTCTTCCCCATCCCAAGCTCTCCATAGATGCAGCAACGCTGGCTGGGCTATTTCTTTTCTTTTTTTAAAAAAACACACCCAATCTTACGTAAAGGAACGATTTGGGGTTTTTTGTTGTTGCCATGCCTTCGCCACCACAGCAGAAAACCCCATGACCACAGATTCCCCCCCCCTCCAACCCCCTGAAACAGCCCAAGAAGATTATTTTTACCTCGATCAGTGAAGCTGGGGGGCAAAACCTTGGATGTTCCGGAGCTCCTTTCCACCCCACAAAAATTAAAATTCAAAAAAAAATTCTGAGATCTCCGCGATTTAATTCGCTTCTTCAACGGAAGCAAAAAAAACGACGACAAAAACCCTCAGATATTAACAATTAAAAGGCCCAGTAAGAAATATATATATATGTATATATATATACAAATTAAAATATCAGCAATAGGTTTGGTTTTAAATTGTTTCGTAAAAAAAAGCCGGTATAAAATAATAATTTATGGTTCTTTTATTAAATAAAGCAAGAAGAATCACGACGAAAATTCTGGAGGCGGAGAGTGAGGTATGCGGCTTGGACGCTTGGCGAGGTGGTTGGTTTTTGTGTTTTTCTCTATTGTGAGCCGCCGAGCAGCAGTCGCAGCATCAGCTCTCGCGGAACGTCGCGCTCAGGTCTGGGGAATGTCTGGCGATGCCTTCGCTTTTGAGGGCGGAATGCGGCGACGTCAGAGAAGGGGGAGTGGCGGAAGGACAGGGCGCGGCTTCCCCTCGACAACGTGCAGCCGCTTCTTTGTATACCAACACGGAGCTCCGTCGCTCCGCCCCGGGAGCTCTTCCGACTCCGCCTTACGAGGCCGCTCCGGGGACGCTGTTTAACCCTCGGGACGAGCCAACTCTTTCCCGCACAAGAAGCGGATCACGAGGCTGTTACTTAGCAGCCGGGCGAAACTTGACGCCGGCGATTCTTCGAAATGATGGAGGCTTCGAATTACAATGGGGGCAGGGCTTTGCTTTTGGATCCTAAGTTTTTTCCCCCTGGGTGCCTTCCGCCTCAGTTTCCCCATCTGCAAAACCAGAACAACACAGTGTCGTTTGCAGTGCCGGATTTATGTATAAGCTGAACAAGCTATTCAAGTTCTTGAAACATTTCGTTCCAAATTTGCTAGACAGAGACAGACAGAGGATGATGACAGGTGGGTGACCTGCTCCCCCCAACATAAATCAAACCAAATTGTAAATTATACTAAATTGTACAGAACACCCTCTGGACACGGTAATGTTTTCTGGAATGCCACCACAGCTCACTAGTCTAATTTTTGGTCCATCAGCTGCTGATTTCATAGATAAATGTAATATCACGGAATTATCATATGCAGTGCTTTTTCCCTGGGGTTACGCAGGGGTGCGCATACTCCTAAACATTTTGTGAAATTATATTTGGCCTCATTGAGGGGCAGTATTTCAATATGAGTAGGAAAATGAGAGTACCCCTAAACATTTTTAACTTTTTAAAAGAAAAAAAGCACTGATCATATGTATACTACCACAGCATCTCATAAGTCCTGAGATGTTACCAAAACTGATTGATAAAACCTATGGTTTTAAAATGTTTAGATGATATGGGGTATGGGTGAAAATGGTGCCAAAAGGAAGACTTCCACCGTGGAAACACTGCATTTGAAGATTTTGTGTGACTTGAAAAAACCAAAACAAAACATCTCCAACCTTATTTACTTTATAGCTCATGTTTTCTTGTACCACCAATACTGCTAAAACTTTTGTCTAATAAGAACAAAAATTCTGCTTATGGTATACGGTACTGTACAGTATTAGATTTTGGGGGTATGAATTCAGGACTCAGGAGTCATTCTGTATTATTAACCACCTAAGTCACAATTTCCAGTTAAGTCTAGGATACTGTTAATGTCACATGATAATGATATAACATATCCAGGAGGAAATTATATGAATTGCCCTGACTTGTGTGCATGCCTTTAAGGAGTATTACTCATTCCTTATGTAACTGTGGTGCTGGGCATTTATAGATACACTTTATGGAAACTCTGCCAGAATTAAACAGTTACAGATGGGTAGCCGTGTGGTCTGCCATAGTCAAAACAAAAAAAATTCCTTCCAGTAGCACCTTAAAGACCAACTAAGTTAGTTCTTGGTATGAGCTTTCGTGTGCATGCACACTTCTTCAGATACCAGGTATCTGAAGAAGTGTGCATGCACACGAAAGCTCATACCAAGAACTAACTTAGTTGGTCTTTAAGGTGCTACTGGAAAGAATTAAACAGAATAACCAAGTAACAGAATCTACCCAAGCCTGACATACATTTTTAATTCATAGATGTATTTTACAATTCTTTCACCCTGGGAAAAGCAAGATTTTCTTTCAACTCCTTGCATTGGGTTAGGAAGAAATAAACACAAACATATAAAAGAAATGTCTATAAATAAATAAGTTTCATTCCATGAGTGTGTTTCTATTCTCTAGTGTGTGTGGTTTTTTTAGCTCCCCATCCCCAGCCTTTTAAATACAAAAATAAATATTGTATGTTTAAATTTTTCCTCTGAGCCAACCCATCCATTAATGAAAGATTCAGGAAAGGGATAGAGGGTTTTGAGAACAGAGGCAAACAACCGTGCTTCAGTAACCTTTGTGCTTCCCACAAACTTAATCTAGGCAGCATAGTAGTAAGATCACATGTGATTCTATTATATTGGAATACGTGTTTTTCCCCCCACACAAAGTTTGCTGTAGTTCATTTATTTGTTTTGCTCATGTATTGTTTGGAAGCTTTGACATCCACCAGTGCTTTCTGTAAGTGACATGTTTTTCTTTTGAAGGAGGGCTGAAAATTACATTTGGGAAACTCTTTGAGAGCAAGTTAGTAGTGTCAGCTCTCTTCCTGACTTGACTATTTTGATTCCTAGGACTACGGTTTTCCCAGTAGTGATGTATGGAAGTGAGAGCTGGACCATAAAGAAGGATGATCGCCGAAGAATTGATGCTTTTGAATTATGGTGCTGGAGGAGACTCTTGAGAGTCCCATGGACTGCAAGAAGATCAAACCTATCCATTCTGAAGGAAATCAGCCCTGAGTGCTCATTGGAAGGAAAGATCCTGAAGCTGAGTCTCCAATACTTTGGCCATCTCATGAGAAGAGAAGACTCCCTGGAAAAGACCCTGATGTTGGGAAAGATTGAGGCTTGGGGGAGCCCGAAAGTTAGCAGAAGTACACACACACACACACACACACACACACGACACCACATTGATCGGAGGGGAACCCAGAGAGGAAAAAGGCATGGCTGGCTGCCTGGACCCCCCAACATTTTCTTGCAGGTGCCCCTAGTTTCTGCCCAGTTGTAAACAGCATGAAAGCTAGTCCTATTCTTGAATACAAATAGCTATCCTGGAGCAATATTCTTTGGATTTGTAACTGAACCAGGGACAAGTCAAGACATTTTGCAGCTTGACATATGCCCCTTACCCATTCCACGTACAAAAGCTGGCTGGACAAGCTTTTGAATCTTATTTTAATCGCTTGTGACAGGATAGCATCCACCACACCTGAGACTGCAGGCCAGATTAGGGGACCTAGGAGTGGTCATGTAGCAACAGAGGGAAATAGCTGGGAAGCTCAGGAGAAACAGTCAGAGAATGCTGCCGCCGCCTCCAACTTCTGCCAGCTGGGGTGGTTGTCTCACTGTTTCTAATGGCAGGACCAGTCCTGACTTGACTCCCAAATATTAGAGCTCATAATAGCATGATTGAAAGAGATGAGTAACAGCATGGTTAATTTAATTGGGTTTACTCCCAGGTAGGTGGGGTAGCCTTATTTGGTGATCCTGTGTTCACTCACATGGGAATAAGTCCCACTTGAGTCCCACAGAAAAAAACACAAACAACTGTCATTACAAGCATTTCAGTATTAAAGCAGTATTAAATTGATGTAGTTCCAGGAGCTGTAGTCACTTTACAACAAAAACTGCCTAGGATCACGTTGAGCATGAAGGCACTATCTTATCGGGATATGAAACACTAAGTGCCACCCTATGCATGCCTATTCAGAAGTCAGTCCCATTGAGTTCACATTAGGGGTATAAGATTGCAGCCTAAGTTTTTCATTGACTTCTCAAACTGGTTTTTGCCAAGACAAATCTCAGCAGTAAAGATGATGATGAACAGATACAAAAATGAAGATCTGGCATACATGTAGTTCCACACAACCTAAATGCTTGGATAATATGAAAATGGAACTTTTAGTTCAGGACATAGAATCCACAACCCACTGGAGAACCACCAATGAAATGTATGCTGTGTGGCCATTCACTTTTCACACTCTCAAACCAAGCTTGGACTGGAGAAGTAGAAAGATCTGTAATGTCTGAAAAGGAAGTCTTAAAATAAATTTCAACACAGTGGAGGGGTGTGCAAGTTCCCCTTTCAAATGCTTTGAACAATCTTCAAATTGGGGAAGGAGAAATTCTACTTGGCAACTACAAAGAAGACACATTTATTTACAGAACACAAGATGTTTCTTCTGGGGAAGGCAGACTTGAGTCCTGCAGGATCCACCTTGTTTTGCTTTCACTAGAATCCCAAAGCCCTCTAAGCAGAGTCAGGTGCAAAATAGTGGCTGGCATGGTGGAGGAGGCAACACCCCCTTAGAATAAGGACCCAGGGTATATCTGAGCACTTGCTCAGCCCAGTTTTTATTCCCAGAACTGAATTCATAGTCCTATCACAAAAAACCACACTCCCAGTTCCTTCCTCCCATTACCTAGCAGCCAAATTTGGAGTGTGTTTGTATGTGCCTTTTTGTTGTTGCATTTGCAAATTAATTGGGAGTCAGAAACCTTGTTGAACACTTGTTGAATATGCACCTTCTGCCCACCCCTGCTTATATAAGGGGTAGCCCAACCAAGGCTGAAAATATTCCAGTCCCCCTTGAACTATGAATAAATTTCATTTCTCACTGATATAATGATAGTTGTAATGGGACAATTTTTCCGTAATGTGTGGATGTTACACGTAGTGTTTGAACTGTTTAATTGATAAAATGTGCTCTGTGCAGAACAAATGAAAACTTGAGTGAGAGCGGGGATGCACATTTCAAATCACTCTGAGGTTCACTTAATGAGGCTGAAATTACGGTAGTTAGAAGTTTTTAGTTATATAATCCAAATTTCCATGAAAGCAGTCTCAAAAAGGAACCAGTGCTTTGTTTATATGCAAAGCACCATCAAGTGTACTGAGCCCACAGCAATAATTGGCAATTTATGTCAAAATGGATACATTTTGGGCCATCCTAAATAGTACATTGAAGAGTGCCCTCATTGAGACACCATAGCATTAGCTGCAGTCCATTGCCTTCCTTTGCTGTAGGATGCTCAGTCTAAAGCATGCCGCCCCATTCAAAAAGTTATCAATGGGTTATTGGCATGGAAACAATAAGCTTGGTGCTATCTTGCACCACAACCAAAGTGTTAGAAAGGATGCAATGTTAGGTCAACATGTAGAAGGCGGCACACTCCTGGAATTCTAGGTCTGTGTTTTGTTGTAGCCCAAATTTTAGTCTGGTGCGCGTGCGCATGCACACACACACACAGAGTTCATTATTCATTAAGCAATTGTCAGGGGGCCAGGGGCCTTGA